GCGTTGTGCCATCTCGCTCCCCCCTTCTTCCTCCATCTCCATAGCGGAGCACCACACCTGGTGGGTCCGCTACAACTGACGTTTCTTCTGGACCCGCGCAGGAGAAATCCATGGTGGCTCTATGATTGGGACAGTGCAATTGTGCAGAACGCGATGCTTTACCTGCAAAGACAGGGTGGAGGTGATTGGAAAGGGCCGGACCACCTTGAGGTTTTTGGTGACCTTCACGAGTTTCACAAGGAACCCACGCTGAACGGGCCCAAGAGAAAGGACAAGAAGATGTGGGAGCCCGATGCGAAGGTTGATTGTGAGAGGCTCACACCGTCAGAGTGGTGGGCGACTTATGATGGCGATGTCCCCGACTTGCAGGCCATTGCCATCAAAGTGATGGGCATGTGGAGTACAACAACCCCGGCGGAGAGGAATTGGGCGTCCATGGACTTCGTGCATTCGAAAAGGAGGAACAATTTGAAGCCCGAAACATTGGAGAAGCTGGTTTACATCCATTGGAACATGCAACTACTGCGTGCTGCCAACTACAGCGGTGCCAACGACGAGGGCTACGTCGATCTGTGGAGTTCGTTCTTCGAGGCTATTCCAGAGCCAGACGAGAACAATTGATTTGTCTTGAGGGGCCCCGAGGAAGAAACTGAGAAGACGGATGAGGAGCTGGTGCGACAAAGCAGCTTCGTGAAGATACCGAAGGGAAGGATTCCAAAGAAACTTGAGGACGAAGAGGACGAGTGCACCGACGACAGTGATCTGGATGATGAATTGTGGAAGGGAAGGGGTGGATTGTCGGATGAGATGAGTGGCGCGGAGGAGGAGGACGACGAAAGAAAAAAATAAAAAAATTCCTTGCCTGGTTTTTGCGTCGCCCGGTTCACCCGGGCGGACCCCCCCGGGCCCAACCGGCCAGGGTCCGCCCGGTCGGGCGCCGGCCCAGCCCAGTTATTTTATTAATATGGCAGTGGTCACTGCTCATACATGTGACAGGGTGCATGGGTCAATGGTCAGTGGTCATCAATCATTTGTACTGTTTTAGCCACAGAACTATCAAATCCCAAACTGCCAAGCCTGTCACTTTTGCACTTCTTATAAAAGTGGGACCCTGTGGGGTCTGTTGGTGGTGAATAGACATGCACTGTCATGCAGTAAGCACAGAGCACTGCAGTACGCACTTCTATACAAAGGGTTTCGAGTCTTTGGAGTCTTTGGACCCCCCCAAAGGGCCCATTTGTTTGCCTCCAAGTGAAGCAAGTTGTGTAGTCTGCCCTCATGAGGACTTTCAGGTCAATTTTGTGCACCGGCCGGCCATTGACGTGGGTTTGCCCTGTTTGTAGGGGGGGCAAGTAAATACAAATTATACAACGGTTTTGATGATGCGGTATGAGTCCGTATGACACCCAAAACCTCACACCCTATGTTGCAGACAGCGTTCTGTGTTCAGAGTGGAGAGAAAGCCCTGAAAGGCTGAAAGTGCAAAAAAAATGGGGTGTGCCAAGGATTTTAGGAAAGATGGGGTTGCAGTTACAGACGGTAAGCGAACTTCACTTCCATGCATAGGTTCTGGTCGTAACCTTTGAGCTAGTTATGACCCAAGAAGCTATGAATCTCCCTGGGAGGCGGCTATGCGGGGCCAAGGAGGTACCAAGGAGGTAGCACGACTTTGCGGCCATGTGGCTGCCAGTGGGGGGGAGGGTTTGGGGGCTGATTGGGGTTGCGCAAGGCCAACCCCAACCCCTCAAAGAAAAAAAATGAAAAAAACCGAATATTGGGAAACATCCAAAAAAGTTAAAAAAACAAATATTGGCAAGAAGGAAACGGTTGAGCCCCCAAAATTGGAACAAGACAAGAAGCAAGAACCCACGCAAATAATTTGTGGGTGTGAAAAGAAACATCCAAAATAAAAATAAGGGGTAACTACGGCGCARTCACGAAAACAGTTTGTAAATGCACTTCAAACTGCGTTTCCGCACTCAGTCACGGCCCGAGTTTGAAATGCATTTCAAACTTGGCTTGGTAGCAGTTCAGTCAGGGCCCTCGTCCATCCACGAGCAGCAGATGAGAAAAAAAGGAAAAAAAGCATCCCTTATGTGGTGATTGCGGTCCGATACAGGATGTACAGTACTTGTCTGGCACCCGTGGAATCCGCCCTGCCTGGCTGGCAGGGCGCTACAACGACCTCACAACAAAAAGGAAACAAAAAAAACGATATGATTCACAGTCCTCACATACTGGCCAGATACATTCCTCAAAGGACTGGTATAACTTGAGCTCCCCACGTACGTCGATTCAAAGCTCCTCGTTTCTTTTCTTTTTTTTTTCTTCTTTTTTATTTTCCTTTTTTTTTGGCTCCATCCGCGTTTGCCTGTGAAAGGTGGCTGTGGCCGAGACATCTCGGCCGTGGCCCATCTGGGGTGTGGCCGAGACATCTCGGCCATGCCCCAAGAAAAAAACGGCCATATGACTGACTGAACTGCTAGAAAACGCCACCCCCAGTTTCAACTGCATTTGAAACTCGGGGCCTGACTAAACTGTTCAAACGAAGTTTGAGATGCAATTACAAACTGTAACCCTGACTGCGCCGTAGTTATTTCTAAAAATAAAGGCACGCAATGAATAATTTAGGAAAACAACAAAAAAAAAAAGGACCCAATCACCTGCCTAAGCAATGAGAGCTAATGGCGGGGCATGGGATAGCAAGCCTAAGCAAGGTGCTTGTGATAGTACTGTAAACATTAAAAAGATCGAGTAAGGTGGGTAAGGGCCTGATCCCACCACTACATTACAGCCCAGTTACACTGTAGTTTTCGGATCCCACCACTTTCTGACGTCGTCGCGGCTGCCGAAATATTTTGCCCTACTTTCGTTTGTGTGTGTCGTGGCAGCTCGTCCGCGAAGGGTGCAAGCGTAGTTGCTACAATTTTTGTGCAGACCGTGAGGGCATCTCTGCAGCGAAAAAGAGGGAGCATTTTTTTTTCTTTTTTTTTCTCTTTCGTCCGTTTGCAGCATTTCGATTGGCTGCCCTCTCAACAGCCCACAAAGAACCGCCGCGGGTTCAGGAAAAGCACCGAAGAAGTCGCCCTGGTGGGATCCAATTTTTCTTTTTCGTCCCGCCACGACCGCTGACATCTTTGTCGTGCTTTTTGGCGACTACAGTCGTAGTGTAGTGGTGGGATCAGACCCTGAGGCTTGGACCCCACCACACGGCGGCTGGAAACGTTTTGGCATGGAAGGGCGTTTTCGGACCCCACCGGGCCGCCAGGCGGTTCACCACCTCGTCTGGCGACGTCGAGTTTAGACCCCACCGCCGTTGCCAAAAGACCGCCAGCCATATTTCTACATGGGTGGAGGATGGAAAAGTCTCCACCCGCGGCCGGCGCTCTTTTCCAAAACGCCCTCCAACAGGGTGGGGAGGGCAAAGCACCAGCCGTTGGCATCGGAGGCCGTGGAGAAGTGGTGCAGTGAACGGGCATTGTGACGCCCAACCTCACGCCCAGCGCGACTTCCTGATCGGAGTAGAGTATGGGCCTGGAAGTGCGACAAGGGGTGTGCCAAGGATTTTTAGGAAAGTGGGGGTGGAGTCCTAGGTCAGAACTGAGCTCTCTTGTAGCAGAGTTTCTCGGGGGCACGAGTGCAATTTGGCGGAGAGGGCGGACCGCCTCTGGTCATAAGGCAGATGACATGCGCGGGTCATTCAAGGCCGTGCGATCCATCGGTTTTGAGGGATGCGGTTCGCTGAAAAATCCCTTCGGGGTGGGTGTGGTTCCGATGAGTCAGTCCGTTGATTGTTGCCACGTGGGGCCGGTCGTCGTACGTTCGGGTTGGGCCCTCGCGGTCCCGGGGTTCTCTGAGTGGCACGTTGTCGGCAATTTCCACAGGGCGTGCTGGGCCAGTAGCGGGCTATGGCGTTCCACGGGACGACCGTGAGCTGATGATATGAGAGAAGAAGATGGAAGGGAGGGAGGTTAGTGGAGATAACGACGAAACCAGGGGAGATAAAGCAGTGGGTGTGGTTGGAAGTGGGGTAATCAGGGCACCGGGGGTCGCTAGTGGTGGCGCAGCGAAACTGACACAGTCGATTCTCTGTTAGGCAAGGGTATACTGTGTCGGAGACTTTCCTCTATCCGAGGGGTGACATAGTCAGGGTCGTACAACAACGACTCAAAGCTCTCGGAGTGTGTCATTATGTCATCGCAGAGCTGCGAGATGCTTGAGGGCGGGTCTGTGCCGACTGCGATCACCGCGTGCGAGCACGTGCAGGCTGCGCGAATCGAGTCGCGCTTACACGTGTTCGCATGGGATGACTGCTCCGTCGCAGAC